GTTCCTCCAGGTCCAGCCTTGGAGGCCCGGGGTTGGGGGTGGGGGTGGGGGTGGGCTGTGGTGAGACCGCGGCGCCCAGGGCGGGCTCAGAGCCCCTAGCAAGGGCTGACGCCTATAGCCCCACCTGCTTTCCTGGGGCTAGGACAGGCCAGATACAAACTGGGCACCCACTGCAGGGCTGGCTCGGCGGGGAGACTGCAGGGCCTTGGCGCAATGGGCTCTGTGCTTCCCTAGAACAGAGCTTGGGCAGCGTCGGAGCCTGAAGGGCACCAGGCGCTGTGAAGGCAGGGGTGAAGCAGACTGGTCGGTAGCCGCCTCGCTGGTCTGTTGGGGCCATCGGTGCCAAGCTCAGGAAGATCAGCCAGAGTGCTGAGCTGCCCTTCATCACTGGCCCCTGATGTGGCAGGCTGGTGGCACATTCCTGCACCCAAACCCAAGGCCCAGTGGTACCTGGGAAGGTTTGCACCTTGGAGGGTGGGCATCAGAGCTGAAATTCACTGAATGTCCACATTATAAGACTACTTCTTGCACCTTTCAGAGTCAACTCAGATGCACACTGCACAGAGAGCAGAGGACATTGCCTGAGGAGATCAGGGCCCTGGTCAGCTGGACAAGGCCTGAGGCTGGGTCTGGGCAGCAACAGGCCTGGCAGAAATGAATAGGAAAGGTCTGCTGCCCCTGGCAGGAGGCAGAGGGGCATGGGAGTGGGCAGATGGTTATGCATTGCTTGGAGAGCTACAGGTGGGCACTGCCACTGCTCCACTGCACCAACAGCCTTTGGTGCCTCCTTGAGCTCTCCCATAAGAAAGTCTCCGCACTTGACCAGCCACCAAGAACCTGATCTCTCAACGCAGTTCTGGGTTTCAGGGTCTGTTGCTTGGGCTCAGCCCCTGTCCATATGTCTTCCATGCCCTGGTGCAGGGCCCAAGAAGGTAGGGCACATCCCTTGTGGCACTTCCTGGGTCCCCCCTGCTCCCCTCTCCTCCCCCAGCCATGGCAGGGCCAGGAATAGGTGCAGCAGCTTGGTGGGACTCCAGGCAAAAACATCAGAAATAAAGTTAAGTAATCAAAATGCACCAGCCTGGAGAACTCCACCTAGGCCGGTGTCAGGAAGTAAGGAAATAATATAAAGCAAACAAAACAAACGATCACAGTTGATCATAACTCAGATGCAGTCCTCTGCTTTATAGCTGGATGTCCCCCCGAAGCCTTGTGTGCTCAAAGATGGGGCCTGTGGAAGGTGACTGGCTTATGGGGCATTGCAGCTGGCTTGCTGCTGGGAGGTGGGATCTAGTCAGAGATAGGAGGGTCGCTGGAGGGTGTGTTCTAGAGTGTACCTCTTCCCTGGCTACTGTTCTCTCTGCTTCCTGTCCCTGTGCCCTGAGCAGCTGTCCTGCACCTTTCCCCTGTGCCATGCTGTCCTACCTTGGGGCCTACAGTAGAGACTGAAAGGTGAACCAAAATAAAGCTTTTCCTCCTTTTAGTTGTGCATGTCAGGTATTTTGTCCTTACAACAGGAAACCAAGACCGGGAAGAAAGTTGTCTACATGGACATGAATCTTGAGTCAATACATATGCTGAGTCTCCACCAGAGATGCAAACAGCTTATGCAATGCTCCACCCTTGAGGTGTCCAGGAGCTCTTGACACTACCTTTCTTGTACATTCTCCAAATGTACAACTGTTCTGAAACTTTCTCTTTAAAAGGAAATTCACTGACTGGAGAAGGAATAATATGGTTCAATTAACATTCAAAACCAGTAGCAAATGACAGACATAGTCTTAAGAGATGGGTCCCCTAAGCATCCACCCACCAGCCAGTCCCAGAGCCACGTGGGATGGAAAGTTGGAGCTTCCTTATGAATTCCTCTGATTCCAACAGGACAAAGTGGGAAGGCTGCAGGGAGACAGGTTTGGTGGGAAGAGAGTCAAAATTCCCTTGTAAGTGAGAACCCCATTTTGAATGGAGCAGGATAGAAAGAAGCAGCAAGACACCAAGCAGCCACTCTACAGAGAAGTAAGCAAACAAGTGAGTACTGAGTGCATACATAGATAAGAGCACAGGCTTGGAGAAAAGTAAGGAGAGCAGAACAGAACAGAAACATTAACCCAGTAAAATTCCAAAGTTCTGAGTGAAAGAGAATGCGACCAAAAAGATGTGGCTTAAGTAGAAAGCATTTAATATGTATTGTCAGTGATGAATAGAACAAAATAGGCCAAAAACCAGGAAAAGAGATGAAGAAGATTCAAAGAACAAGCAGAAAACCTGACCTACACAGAATTCTTCACCCAGCTGCAAAATACACATTCATTTCAATTCCATGTGAATATTTACAAAAGTGAACTGGCCTCAGGTCATACAGCAGTCCTCACAAAACTCAAGATTAGGATAAGATGGGAACTGTTACTGCCTCAGGGCATCTGGTCTAGATATTGACGGGAGGTGATCAGAAAATCTTGTATGTTTGGAAATTAAGCTTCCACATTATCCAAGGACAGAAGAAATCAAAGGGAACTGTTGTGTTATCTTTGTAAAGTAAGTTATAATTTTATTGAAAATCTGGGGCCAGGGATTTAGCTCAGTGGCGTTGAACCTACTTCACAAGCTCAAGGTCGTAAGTTCAATGCCTGGTACCAAAGAAATAAAATCTGAAGAGTGACCACATAATATAATTTAAATATGTACATCTAGCTCAAAAACTGATAGAATAACAAAGGAATGAAGAAAAGGTAATTTGTGTACAGGGAACAGAAATGGAGGGGAGGGAAGCAAACAAAGGTACAAGGAAGGTGGCAACAGTAAGTCCCCATATCCAGTTACACAAGACACTCAGCTGATACCCTGTGCCCTCATGTATCCCTCTTCTGGCTGCTCTGGCCCGCTCTCAGCTGTTGTATCTCCGCTCCACTCAGTACCTGGTCTGGAAGGCTGCTCCATGTGTGAACCGCCAGCAGTCCCTGGAGATGGACACCCCAGCATGGGTCCTTTAGCAGCACCTGACTTCACAGCAATCACTTTTCAGTCCTGGAAAGGAAGTGAACACAGAGGAGGTACAAACCTTCCCGTCCCTTTGTCACCTGTGAGGCTGGCACACTAAGCCACTGCCCATGTGTTAGCATGCTCCAGCCCTTGTGCTCTGGGACATTCTGTAGCTGTCACTGCTCAGGGCTATGCACAGAGAGGTGGAGAAAACTGATGAGGCATCAGGTCCCTCTGTGATCAGGAAGGAGACAACCTGCCAACCGCCAGGCTGCTGCACTCTGTTGGCAGGAGGGGCTGTCATCTCTGTCTTGTCTACACTGCACGACCTAAATGGAGGGAGCTCCTCTTTGTATCTTGCTCCATGAGGGACACCGAGCAGCTTTGGTGACAATGGTATCCTAGGTGATAGTCTTCCCAGTGGGAAGCCAGCAGCTGCTGGAGTACAGGGCTGTGCTCCTGCCCGAGTCACCGCCCTTTTGCTGGGCGGACTTCCGGGTGACACCAGGTGGTCCAGGAGCAGGAGCTATGGATAAATCTGAAATGTGACCATTACCTGCCAGATGGAGGCAAAGACCATGGCCGGGGTGAGTGGGGCTCATCTGCCCTAGTGATAGCATCTGTCACCTGTGGTCAGTTGAGCCATCTGTCATTGGCTCATGCAACGTGCAGTGGTGAGGACACACCCTGGCTAGCCATGTTGGGGCAGGGAGAAAGGCCCATTTAGGTGAGCACCTGGGGGCTGCTGTGACTCTGTAATGAGACCTCAAGTGGCCCGAGACCCTGCTTTTCTGTATTAGAGGAGAGAGGGCTGTCGGCCAGTAGGGGCTGAGAGATGCCGAGCCACACAGACAGCATGGCTGCCAGGCTTCCTGCGCTAGGCCAGGACTGACCTTGAGGAATATCACAGATCCCCGTTCCTTGCTAGAAGTCTCTTTTCTGAACTCATGAACAGATGTTCCCAAGATGATGCCTGTGCCCTGGGCTGCCTCTGCTCTCGTGGCCACCAGCCATGTATGCAAGACCCTGACAAATGTCGTAGGGCCCACCCAATGGGAAGGTCCCGAGCGGAGTCTCTCAGCAAAAGTGTGCTAAGACACCAAGACTTCAGTCCTGGCAAGGATTCCTGAAGCCAGTCCTATAACATGGCACACAAGAAAACCAGTTTGCCCCCTGGGAACATGAAGCGCAAGGCCAGAGGCCATCGTGGACTAAAACAGGCCTACAGGGCCCAGTGTACACAGACCCCACCAAGAGGCAAGTGTGAAGCCTGTGGCATCCTGACAGTAGCTGTGTGCGAGTCCGCTGCCTGGTGCAGATGACAGCATGGTAGAACCCAGAATGGTGAAGCCTGGCTCCGTGCTGAGAGTGGATGGACATAGCCTGCTGTGGTAGACAAGTCTGAGGGGCGCACTCTCAGTGATGCTCACAGGAAGGTGGTGGGAGTGGTTTGCACTTGTGCACTGCAGCCAGCAGTAGACACTGGTGTGCAGGATCTGTGCTGCACTGTGGCATTAGAGGTGGCTGTGGATGTCTGGTCACCCCCAGGTATCCACAAGCCCCTGCAAGACTCACATGAAGAGGGAGGGAGAGAACCCTGCACATGCAGGGGGTCGGAACACTGGCAAGGGTGTGGTCCCCAGTGCTGGCAAGGCTCCAAGGGCAGGCTGTGCCCACACCCACAGCATTCTCACACTTGCGTGTTCCACGTTCATTCTAGGACCCCAGCAAATATCAAGTCCCTTGCATAAAGTGGCACAGGATCTCCTTCTAACCTAGGCACATTCTCTAACAGACTTTTAAGTCATCTGTAGGTGACCTGAAATACCCAATACAACATGAATGCCATGTAAATAGCTGCTATATTGTAGTACACTACATGTTTTCGGTTCAGAAGTTATTTTTCCCCCCAAACATTTAAGATCCGTGATTTGCTGAATGTGTGCATTTGGAACCAATGGGCACAGAGCGCTGACCATTTGATAACATATCACATCTTATACTCTTACATATTTTATATAATAAATGTACAGCCTGGGACAATTTTTTCCTCTGCTTTTATTACAAGCATATAATATTAATTGGCAAAACACTGAATACAAGCTTCACTATCATGAAATCAAAACATTAAGCAATATTCCAAAAATGATTTTAGACAAAAACTAGCCACCGATGGTACAAAAATTACACACCAACACAAAGCATAAAAATGTAAACTTTCAAATTAAACAGTCAAAAATATGTATCTGCATTATCATTTCCATACACCGTGATAGCTTTCATTAGCTTCCACGCACCATGGGTGAAGGCTCAGGCTTAACTACTGTCCCCGACCTATGCCACTGTCACTTGGGAAAAACATGTCTCCAATACTTGTCTGAGTTATAGGCACGGACGTTCACACAACGCTGCACACATCTCAGGGACACGCCTCAGCCCACGCCTCAGTGCACTCGTGGATGGGACAGCAATGCACAGAGGCAGCCACAGCCCCTCAGCTGTTCCCAGAGGGGCACAATATGTGTAAAAATTACGATATGATTTAAATGATGATTTTCTACTCTACTTACCCCAGTTACTTCCTTAGTGTAGTTAAGTATCAAGGCAGAGAAACACATTTGTTTTCATGTTAAGGTCACATGTGATGTGGTGGGGCTTAAATGATTTCCTGAGGAAACAGATAAATTGGATTCCTTTGTGATTTAGCTATCTGCACTAAATTCTGAGTGTTCTGAAAGCACATTAAATATTTACGTACAAGTAGAAATCGGTTGGCTCATTCCTAGGTCATTCGATCGGACGACATATTTCAGATCACTGTGAATGCCACACTGTGTGCCTCTAGAGACAAAACTAACGACTCTCCCGAGATACCGAGTGCCACGCAGGCCTCAGAGGCTGGCAGGGCAAGAAGGCAGCACCGTCAGGTCTGCAGGCTGAGGCCGTGCAAGCCCAGCCCAGGGCAGTGGGCCCAGGACCCGTGGACTGCGGTGGCACTTGCTCTGCAGTATTGCTGGCGGGCACTCACACACACACCACCCCAGTAACAGCATTCGTATAGCAACAATGAAAACGAAAAGCCAAATGGGCAAATGCACATATTTTGAAGTTCCAACTATGTTCCCTTTCTGTTTAGCAGAATGGATGCCACATCACAATTTAAACACATCTAATAATGCATGTTGGAATCTATTGCACAAAAGCATAAAAATGCTCTTCATCCCTATAAAAACATGAATTAAAGCCTACTCAAAGTAAAAGAAGCTTGCAAAACATCTTACAATTTCATCTTATATGCCTGTAAATAAAGCTGGATCACCAAAACCAAACAACTGGATGGGAAAATATGATAGAAGGCTTAAAATAGAATAAATAATTTTATAAAGTTAAGTTTTCTTTTTCAACCCCCCCAATCTTAAATTCAATATTATATATTCTATCTGAGTTTTCTATTTTCGTGAAAACGGTGTCCAGCGAGACCACGCGCGGGAGAGGCCGGTCCCGCCGCCGCTGCTGGAGGTGTGCAGGGCCCATCTGACAGCCTTGGCTTTACCAGCACAACAGTGGTGAAAACGACTTCACAGCAACTCCATCTGCTAAGAAAACTTAACAGGACCAATCACTAGCTGATCCTGGTGTTCATGCTGGAAAAAGTAAAATTCAGCCTTTGATGTCAAATGAGAGCTTCCAGGAACGAAATGGACTGTCCAGAGCATTCGCTGATGCAGCTTCCTCCACTCCTGGCTGAGCTAGGTAAGGCTACAAGTCAGACCACAGGGCAGACAGCGCCGGGACGGTCCTGCAGTGCAGACAGTCGTGTGGCGGAATCTTAGAAAAATAGGTACTTTTGCTGCTGAGGTTTGATCAGGGTAATGGTGACAGAGGCTGAGTTGCTCAGGGTGGTGGCACCTGGCCGGAAATCGGGCTGGATGCGATATCCCACCTTGCTGCACACCGAAATCTATCAACTTAGCACCATAGCAAGTCAAGTGACTCCAAAGGTAGCTACAAAGTTACAAATATGAGATTATACAGTGATATTAAGTTTGATCTAATGGTGAATTAACTTTATTTAAATTTGGAGGCTCAAACTGTTTAATCCTTCTTCAGTTTCACCACACAGGAAAATACCTAAATTCTAACGTTACACTTAAAACTGCATTGTGATAACGTGGTTTTACAGAATGCTTCAGCAGTACATGTGGTTTGAGGTAGACAGGTAATATTTACTCATAAACCCTTGTGTAGTAACTCTAGAAACGATTTGGATGAATAGCCAGCTCAGGAAGTGGATTAATCCACACAGTCCTGAACTTAAACAAAGAGGTGAGTTTTGACCAATTTCTAACCAAGGCTTGTGTTTGTATTTTAGAAAGGCCTCGAATCAAAGGTTGCCTCCTCATCACTGATTTAGGTCTCACTGGCCACTGCTTCTGACATCTTGTGTATGTGAAACAGGAAGCAGAAGAAAACAAACGGAACTGGATGTTGACAAGCCCATACACAGCTTTCAAAGCAAATTCAAGTAAAAGTTCTAGTTTCTAAGGGAAAAAACTCACAAAAACCTGGCCCTCAGACACATGAAGACCCTCGTCTACCCAGCAAGAGCCAGAGGTGGCGGCCTAGATGAATGACCAGCTGTGGTCATGGTCGGCTCATCAGCGAGGGCCTGGGAGAGGAGGAGGGAGGGAGGGCCCAAGGCTCAAGACTGATGGGACTCAGGGCAGCACTGCGGCTGCTGTGGAAAGCAGCCCCAGCCCCGATATGCCCACATCTCAGCCTCAAAGGAACAATGTTTCTGTGCTGGCAGAGCTTATTTTCTCTTTTGACAAAAATATCTCACATTTGAGAGGGCAGGCTCTTGCCTATGACTGAAAAAGTAACTTTGGCTGGGTGGAGCTGGGCCCAGTCGCTTGGCTCAAACACTGCCTCCTGTGAAGGAGGGCCACAAGCACAGGCCATCTCTCCTCACAGGAGGTGACACCGAGACAACAGCCCCAGTGTGGAGGTGGCAGCAGGAAAGTGCCTGAGGCTTCACCAGCAGGTCTCCCCACAGGCTACGCTTACTCTGATAAATGCCAAGCACAAACACCACCATGGCTCTCGTGACTGCAAAAAAGGGGGAAAAAGTAGGAAATTATAATGGCACCAAACAATCTGTGCCCATTTTAATTAAAGAAATTTTAAAAAACAAGAACTATTTTGCAGGCCAATGCTTAGCTGGCGAAACCACCTCTGGTCTACCCTGCCTGAGTGTGCCGGAACCTCGACGTGAAGTCTGGGGTGACAAGGGCCCAGGTTGGGCCTGGGCGGTGCTGTGCAAGTGGGAACTTAAACACTGTGGTTAAAACATGGTACTATGCAAGCCTCTTTTGGTATGCTTTTAAATTAAGTTTTTTTTTTATATATCTTCTATGCCTTCGGGAAGGTAAAGGCAACATAAATATCATTTACCAAGTTTCAATAACTTAGGAAGGACTCAATAAAAGTAGAAGTGTTTTGAGGCTTATCATGAAACCTAATCCAGGAACTAAATTGAAATGAACTCTGATTCTTAAGACCTGGAAAGCAAGCGAGGGCCATCTGTGCCGGAGGGTGGCGCGGACGCCTGTCACGGGCGCTCATCACTCTGCCTCTGGGCCAGAGGCAGAGAAGGGCACGTTCGGCTCCATGAAACTGCGAAGTGTTTTCATCCTCTGTAAACGTGTGCTGGTAGTGTCTTGTTGGGTGTGGATTCTTTTATACAAAAGTTATAAATATTCTCTATTCAGAAATCTGGTCCGCACGGCACCCAGATGCAACATTCTACGGCGTAGTCACCGTGGATGGCCGAGTGCAGCCAGGTGCAGGTGCGAGTCTGCCATGTAGGCTCACAGCAAGTCCATCTTGGGTCTGTAGTGCAGCAGGAGCGGGGCCTTCTGCAAAACAATGACAGAGGGCCTCAGTGGGCAGAGGCTGGATGCCAGAACCCACACACTCATGCTCAGAACAATGCATGACCTGTACCCAGGTAATGTGTAGCTGCAGGAGCCCTGGGTCGTCTGGGACCAGGGACCACCTGTGCAGTACTCAGGTCCCATGCCAAGGTATGCACCACCTGTTCCTCCCACCCCTCAGTACTGGCTGTGTTCTGGATCTCAAACTTTTTGGCCTTGGCGTTGGTCATCCCAGTTCCTCAGCAGGCCTGGCCTTGGTCACCCTGAGTCCTGGTCAGCCCCAGTCCCTGATCAGCTTGGCCATCTAACTTCCTATTCCCCTAGGCAGCAACTTGGCTGAGAAGGGAGCAGCCCCCATACAAGGATTCCATCGTGGGCTTCTTGCCTCAGAAAGGCACCCAAAGGCTTGAGCATTTCCTCTGAGTGCAGTGGTCATTGTGGCATCTGGCCCATGGACCAGAGGGCTGAGTGAGGACCCTGTGCCTGGGGAGCCTGGCTCAGGTGGTTGATTTTAGAAAGCTAAGTGATTCACAACAACCCCTGTGTTAATACGTGCAGAGCAAGTAAGCGCCTTACAACAGCCTGGAAACCATGTAAGACAAGTGGCAAAACAAACAGCTCACCTTGAATCTCCACCGTGTGACCACCACGAACTTGAGGGTGTGGTCCTTGCCCAAGATCTCCTCATTGCATAAGATGTCCAGCTGGGGGAAAGGAGCTGCGGTTAGAGACATGTATGACCCACAATGAGACCAGTGCCAACTAGGACAGAGTGAGGAGCAAAGCACCCACATTTTTTTTTTTTTTTTTTTTTTTT